TGCGCGGGTCGGAATCATCCGACCCGCGCTTGCGCGGGTCGGAATATTCCGACCCGCGCTTGTGCGGGTCGGAATAATCCGACCCGCGCATGCGCGGGTCGGATTGGTCCGTCCCGCGCTTGCGCGGGTCGGATCATTCCGTCCTGCGCTTAGCGCGGGTTCGCCGACTTTTTTTTCCTTTTATGTTCTCTTTCTTCCGAGACTTGTTCTTTTCGCGTGTTTGGTCGATTTGTTGACTTGTATGCTTTTTGACGTGCGCGCGTTGACCGGCGCGCACGAGTTGGTTGACGTGCGCGCGTTGACCGGCGCACACGAGTTGGTTGACGTGCACGCGTTTGACCGGCGCGTACGAGTTGATTCGACGTACGCGCGTTGACCGACGCGCACGGGCTGATCGACGTGCGCGCGTTGACTGGCGCGCACGAGTTGATTGACGTGCACGCGTTTGACCGACGCGCACGAGTTGGTTTGACGAATCTTCTTGACTCGCCCATTCATTGCTTCGAGTTTCATGCGGGCTCTCGTAGACAATTTTAGACGCCTACAGATACCCCCTCCAAAGTGTTTCAGCCTCATTCTTTTATAGAGGAGTCTGAAACGCTTTGGATATGATGGATCCCCACTTTCAGTCAGTGTTAAGGGACCTACAGATGATTTCGATTCTTGACTTCTCCATATTTCAGCATATTCTGTATTTTATCGAATAGCTAAAAATTTTTCCGGTGCTGCGTTTATCGTCTGACCGTTATTGAAGTCTTGAACTGGAACTTGTGAGTAGATTTTTGTTGATGTGTCATTGAGTTGACTTTTGGATCAATCACAACGCGTTGACCGGCGTTGACCTAGGGCTACGCGTCGATCCGCGTTGATCTTAGGGTTTTGTGTTGATCGGCGTTGACTCTCATCGCAACACGTTGACCGACACTGACCTAGGGCTACGCGTTGACCGGCGTTGACCTTAGGGTTTCCCATTAACCTGAGGAGAACCAGTTTATACTCGTGTACTTCTGGGAGTTTCGGAAATCAGTTTAACCTCGTGTACCCGTCGGAGGTTGCCAGGTTATCCTTAAGAATTATTATATGTAATACTCTCCAGGAACTTCCTGTCAAAATGGGAAACAGTTTAGACTCATGTACCCGTTGGAGTTTGGATATCGAGTATTCCAATAAAAGGCGAAAATATCGCGAAATCACCCAAAATATAAAATTGGGTCCCGAATATTCCAAAATAGGTGAAAAATCACGAAATCACCCAAAATATAAAATTGGGTCTCGAATATTCTGAAAATAGACGAAAATATCTCGCAATTATTTGGGAGACGGAATTGAACTCCGAAAATTCCAAATCTGACTGAAAATGCTGCTCACTTATCCGGGAAATGAAGTCGAACTCTGAACATTCCAAATATGAACAAAAATGCCGTGAAATTGTCCGGGAGATGAGGTTAACCTTCGAAAATTTCAAAAACGGACGAAAACGGACGAAAATACTGGTCTGACCCGCGTTCAC